TGAGGTGACTGGGGAGGCCGGTGCTCCAGCCCCTCCGCTCCGCCTTGCTCATTGCTGGGAGTGGGAGGTGGCTTTGCAGTCAGGCCGTGACCCTGAGGCCCCCTTCCAGGAGCTTAGTGTGAATTTGTGCCAGACGCCTTGGCAGAGACCTCCCCCTGCGTCCAGCGCTTGTCCACGCAGTCCCCATGCCTCCGTCAGCGCCCCAGGTGTCCCAGTGGGTCTGGCACCCATCGGGCCCGGAGGTCATGCTGGTGGGAGCTCAGCTGTAGTGTCAGTCACAGCGAGGAGCTGGCTGAGCTCTGCAGGCAGAGTTGGAGCCTGGAGGCTTGTCGGGGCCACTGGCTTGCAGAGGAGGGGAGCGAGTCCCCGTCGCCTCCTGCTTCCTCTGCCGAGGGAGGCCTCCGGCGTCCACATGGCCCTGGGTGGCCAGGAGCGGTGGGACGAGACCATTCGTCCCTTTAAGGCCGACTGACTCCGAGGTTGAGCCCTGCAGTCAGGAGGGCGGAGGTGGTGGGAGCGTCCTGGGGCTGGAGGTGGGCTTGCTGTGTGCTGAGGGGCATGTGTGAGCCCGCGGCCCGGCAGGCGCATCCCCCAGACGGCGTGCAGGAGGCACCGGCAGCCTGGCCACACCGGGCGGCCTCAGCTCGGGCCTGAGAGGACCTGTGACACAGGCCCCTGGCGCCTTTGGCAGCCAGGCTTTGAGACTGGCATCAGTGGGCATGGCTCCCACGTGGTGCGACCTGAAACGCCCACAGGAAGGAAGAGGCTGCTGCCCAGGCTCAGGGTTGTGGGTGCGCAGAGCAGGGCCACGCGTGCAGCCGGGGAACACACTGCGGGCTGTCGGCGACAGAAGCCTTCGCTGGGAGCGCCGCGTGCTGACGGCAGCACAAAGCCTGGCTCCGGCCGCCCGCCACTCGCCCTTCCCGGAAGTCCCGGCGAACACAAATTATTCAGCGTATCAGTTGCCAAGTAATTATTATTTATCCAAGAGTGGGCGTGGGCACGTTCCCTTCATGTCCTCAGAGATGCGCCCGAATCCGCAGTCACTGCTGAGGCCGACGAGGAGCCATTTCAAACGCACCATCTCCACAGACGTGTGTACAGTGTCCGTGGGCACAGCCTGCGGCCTGTGGCTTCCCACGGCTCACCGCCACCAGGACGCACCCCGCGTGCCAGTGAGGCCTCACCACCGTCCTCTCCTCCGACGCTGGGCCGGGCCCACCTTCCCCTGCAGGTCTCCGCCCCTTTCTTCACCTGGGAGAGCGTCTCCAGGGCTCTGCCCGGGCCCGGCTTTGGGTAAAGCTATGGTGTAAGGCACGTGGGTTAATAGACGGGCCTCCTGGCATCTCCCACGCCTTCAAGCAGATGGACCCGCTGCTCGGGGTCTGCACCGGCAGCCCGCTCGGCCGACACTGCTGCCACCACGCTGGGGTCTTGTCATTGAGCGCCAGCGGTCCCAGGGCCGAGGAGGGTGTGCCGTGGCCGCCCACTTCAGATGGGCACATCCGGGCCTCCACGAGACCCTGAAGAGCCTGCGATAAAGACAGTTTCTTGCAAACACGTGCCCCCCGCCAGGGGGGCCCCCTGTTGCTATTTACACCCCCACCCACTTATCATCAAGGCGAGCCCAGCTCTGCTCTTGTCATTGGCAAGACTCAGTCTCAGACCTCAGCCTCCGCCACTCCTGAATTGGCTCCGTGCTGGTTCAGACGGCCCCTGGCCTTGAGGCACTGGGCAAAGGGGGCGTGCCCTGTCACCTTGCCAGGTTAGACCTCCGTCCCTCATGGACACAAGCCCCTCTGCCCACCTTCCCCACCCAGCATGAGGCTCGCCTGGCTGCCCTAGCTCCTGCTTCTCGATGTACCAGTCAGGCAAGGCTGTGAACCGGGGGTGAGGGGTTGGGGGGACACCCGCATGGCCATGGGCTGGGCCCACCTGCTCCCGGGTGCTCTGGCCTGGCTGCCTGGCTGCAGTGGCGTCAGCCGCCTCCTTCCCGGTGGCTGGCTCCTGGTGAACTCATGAGGAGAAGGTTATTCTACTCAGTGTTGCTGCCTAAGACCCGCCCCCACCCGCGCCTGGCGCTTGATGGAACCAGTGTGTCCCGAGGCTCCGAGATGGCCTGTAGTGAGTTAGAGAAATGGCGCTCACCTGCTCTGCGCCGGCCTGTAGTAGCGCCTGTGCGTGGCTGCTCCCGGCCCCTTGCACGCTGAGACCCGGCCGCTGCCTGTGTGTCTGGGGTGGGGCTAACAGCCATTCCCAGGCCTGTGCTCCCGACTCCAGCCTGGCCCTGCCCCCACTTCTGACGGAGGAGCTGGAGTCCAGGCAAGTGGGCAGTGGTCTGGCGCTGGGCGGGCTGAGGGTGGGAGCCAGTTTCGGGAGCAGCACAGAGGGAGGCCGAGCCCAGAGCTGGGCTGCATCAGGGACCTGCCCGGTGGTCTGTGCCAGAACCATTGTCACCGGAGGCCCGCGGCCCGGCCAGGAGACGCGCATGTTTGTGCCAGGGCTCAGCATTCTGAAAGGAAAGGGCTGGACGCAAGTGCAGGGCGGGGCGTGGGGACCGAGCTTATGCTCCCTGGGTGCTTCAAGGCCCATCGGCCCACCGGGGTCAGAGCGCGGGCCACGGCGGCGGCGGCTGGAGCCTGTCCCCCTGTGCTGGCGGGCAGCGGCTCTGCACTGGTTCCAGACGGGCAGCCTCACGTTCGTGCCCCAGGCTGGGGACACCTGGGTGTCCCCGTGTTTGCAGAGCGCCGTGCTCGCTCCACCTCGTGCAGCTGTGCCCCGCCGGAGCTTGGCCACCTGCAGAGGAAGCTGCTTTTTTCCCCCCATCCACCTGGGGGTGGGGTCATAGACCTTCTGAGCCGCTAGGCAGCCCTGGGCGGTGAGATGGAGACAGTGAGGTGCAGGGAGAAGTGAGTCACCTGCGGGAGCAGAGGGAGCCACGCAGGCCGCTGCTGGCAGGCTCTCCGGCTGGGATGTTCAGGTGCAGGAGCCCCCAGGTGCGGGCTCAGTGTGCAGAATCATCTGCTCTGTGCGCTGAAAGTTGAGTCTCACGCTTCTGTTTTGTCCTGAAGAACCTAGAAACTCTGTCTGCTCAGCAGGCTCCTCTCAGCGACACGCTGGGCAGTAAGCCACTTGCAGGTGGAGGCCTCCTGTCCCTCCCACAGCCCTGTCCTGTTCCTCAGGACCAGCAGGTTTGGGGACTCGGGCGAAATATCTCTGTGCCTCGGTTTGCAAGGGAGATAAAGCCTCACAGGCCCCGCCCAGCGTCTGCCCTGACCTCGGTTCACGGGCGTCAGCTGAGGCCTTGGGGACGGCAGGTTTGCTTCAGAGGCCCCAGGCCTCCCCGCTTCCCCGGCCCCTCCTGGGAGCCATGAATGGAAAGTGGCTGCTGATCTCCTTAGTGGCTCCACTTAGAAGCAAGGTCAACCGCAAGGTCATGGCTGAAATCTGCAAGAGGGAGGCGGCCGCCCACTCAGAGGGGGTCTGCGTGCTGCCCTGGGGACAGGCTGTGGCTGCTGGGCCCTCGTTCAGATTGGCCGATGGGGTTGTGGGCGGGCGAGGGGCAGGGGGGCTGCCGTTTTTACTCTTGGAGAAACGTGGGTTTTTCTGGCTTAAACTTCTCTTCAGAAATGCAGAGCCTTCCCAGCAGCTCCTCCAAC